AATGAAGACCTGCGTTTGGTTCCATGCTGGTGTGCATGTGTGCCAGGATCTAGATGGGCATCTTTAACGCGGCAGCGGGCCGAGTGAGTGAAGGGGCGAGATGACCCCTTTGTCCTTTTGTGCTATGATAAATGGCCGTCTCCTCCTCTGTGCGTTTTGTCAGTTTCGGCGCAGTTGAGTCGATACCTTCACCTTGACAAGGAAACTTTGTGATTTATCAGGGCCGCCGGCCAATCAACAGGCCGGGAGCTCGGAGCCCTTGGAGAGCCCGAGAGCACGCTGTGGTCAAAGTCTCGGGGAGCTGAATGGGGCGACGTTGTCACCGGCGTGATAGACAAATGAGTCTCGTTAGAAGTGGCCAAAAAAGCGAGGAGGGGTCTTGAGGCTGGGAGAGGAAAAAAGCGAGAAACAGAAAGCAAAAAAACGCTTGACTCATACTAATAACAGAACCGATCCAGAGCGGTCACGGCGGGTTAAAAGACGGAGCACCCTGTCACGCCGCAGGTTTGGAAATTAGCAAATAATGTTCCCGAGCCCTGATAAATGTCTGACGGGCCTCCCTCGCAAATCATTTTTTAACATTTTGATGCATGTCTACAATCCCATCGGAGGAAGGGAAAAGTTTACTGGCCCTCGAATGTGCCGTGACAAATGAAGGCCGGTAAATGTACGATTTCTGTATGAAGTATAGTTCATTTTCACCAATTCTGGTAAATGGGTGTCACTGATTAGGACAAATAGTCTGGAAGGGTGATAGCTCCTGCCGTACGTCTCTATTCCTCTCTCTCTTTCTCTCCCTGGCCTCCAGTGGAGCGTTAAGGCCGTGGTCACCAGTGACCATGCCTAAATAGAAAGCAATAGTTTTGATGCAATTAGAGTCCGACGTTGAGCTTTATTTATGGCTGGTGTCATTGTTCGGAATGGTTTGTAAAAGCGCTCAGGAGGCCTGCCTCCGTTAAAGCGTCTATTAGAGCCGGAGCGCTCACATACATATATATCTTAATTTATATCTCTCACTTTCCCCTTGTTAGGAGCCAAAGGAGATCATTGCTGCCTCCAAATTTGGGTCATAGAGACAGACGGAAAGTATTTCCACGTACACTCTGTCATTCCAATTTTGTTGATAGGGATGTACCAGCTTATATTTAAGGTACTTTTGAGACCGAGTCTCCCAAAAAGACTCTGTGACAAAGAAAAAAAAAAGGCAATTCTGACAGCAGCTTAAGGCAAAATTCGAAATCATTTTGTATTGTCTATTAAAAAAAGATAGATATTAAAAAAATATTTATTTTTATTTTATTGTGTACTTTGTGTACTACTATATATAAGTGCACAATAAAATAAAAATAAAGCTTTTTAATAACTATCTT